ATTGCAAAAGAAATACACAAACTCATTCTTTAATTTGTTATTACAATTTAATTTGATTATTTCCCATTTTTTTTTAAATTTATTTTGTTTTTTCTTAATTTACCTACGCGTGTGTAAAATAATTTTAATTTTTCCGACGTTGTAAAGATGAGAAAAGCATCTCAAAACCACAGTCAAAGGGGAATTTCCTAATTAAACAGTCAAGAATAATAATAATAATAATAAAAAAACAAATAAATTACAATACAACTGTCCAAATTACAAGTGTAATTAGTCTGAGTTGTAATGATATCATATCACTTCTAAGAGTACACAATTTTTCAGCGAAATAATAATTAAATCAAATTTTTGTAATATGAAGACTTCAAATTTTTTAAAATATTTTTAGATTGTTATTGTTAATGTTGAAGCTCTTTACTCTTTACTCTTTTTTAACTCGAGGTATTTTCAAAACCCCTCTTTACACTTTGACTAGTTTATTTTCTCTCACTTCATCAGACTAACCAATAATTGACCTCAGATCTGCATACCTTCCCGAGGAGACTGTAACCATTTTGAGATTTGATAACGCGGTGTTAGTAAGTCTGTCAGTTTTCGCAAATAATTTAAGGGCTCTATGCTTTATGTATTTTTTGATGGGATCAATCTTGATGTCCCTAAGGATGTCGTTCGTCCTAATGTACCATGGAACTTTGAAAAGTCTTCACAGAGTCAATCCCTGTGTGGATTTACAAATTGTGTGGATTGAAGACAAATTTTAATTAAAATAATTTTTTTCGATAATTGATGTTAGTAGACTCAGCTGTTTTAAGCTATTTATTTTACTACACTATATGTCCATGTGATAATAAAGATATGATGGCCAAGAACGATATTAAATGAAGAACTCTATCTTTATAATGTTGAAATTCAAAAGCGAAAATTTGGGTGGGTAGGCCTTATGAAGACATGGAATCGCCACGGAACCCGACGTAAAAGAACAAGAACAATTAATACTGAAACTGAGAAATTGTTTAACGAACTTCAACAAATTTTGTAAAATGGAGATAGTTGGAAATCGTTTTTTGTGTCCTTAAGCTCGTAATGAAGTATGGAATAAATTAAAAAAAAATTATATACAGATATAGCATACTTCTTGAGACATCAAAGTTTAAAGGTACGAACTTTTTCGTATAGATTACACTAACAGAAACAACATATGCTATCTAATTAGCTCAGACTGATTGGAATAATACAATAGCCTGCAGACAAGTCAAAGAATCCATGCCGTATCGATCAAAAATCAGAACTAGGGAGCTACTTATGTTGCACAGAAGTGGCATCCGACTTAAAAAAAAGCCTAAAACAACAAAAATGTCGGTTCTTCTATGCTATTAAAAATTCTCAAATTATTGAAAAAATGCCTCTTAATAGTTAAAAACTGACAGTGTGTTACAGGATTTGTGCTGACATTATCGTCGGACCATATTTTTTCAAAGAAGATAGTGACAAAGTAACTACATTCAATCTGTTATTGAAACCAATTATTTGATCGTAAAATATTATGGTTCGAGAAAGTGATACTTAGCACTTTTGGTTTCAACAAAAGAGGAGCTACATCTCATACATCTCATGTCTCGATCGATTTCTTAAATTCATTGTTCGGCGGTCACTTGATACTAAAAAATATTGATTTCGACGGGCCTCCACATTTACCCAATTTCACCCAAGAAATCACCTTCTGTGGTTTCTTGGAGTCAAAAGTGTATACCTACAAGCAAAGAACATTAGACGAACTTAGGTCAATATCCACCATAACATACCTCAACATTCACCCAATTTCACACTCCCAAATTTCACACAAGCATATTACTCAATTTGACAAAAAAGTATCAAAATAGTACTAACAATTTAGCAATTATGATTTTACTGGCTGTATTCCCTGTTTCACAATCATAATCAGAGAAAAATATGAAACTCACGTGACCTTTCTTCTTATGAGATCCTGCATAATTGAGTTTTAATTAAGTATTTCTTTTTAAGATTCAAACTAGGCTATATTCTAAAAATGTAATTTCAAAAAGGAAGGTCTATACATTGAACTCACTATCAATAAATGCAAATACATACCCCTCGATTCTTAATAATTGCATTTAGAGTAGTGTTTAAGATACTTTCCTCTGTCCTCTGTCTATCAAACACCTAAATAAATTAGTTTGATTTATGCTTACAGCTTGGGAATGTTATTAAATATCAAATATGACAAGCAGAACTGATGTTTATTATTAGTTCAGATGTATCGATGTAGCAAGATCCAGGATACGATAATAACTTTAAAAGTGATTCATTTTGTTTGTTAAATTTTTAAAAAAATTTTTTTTTTAATTTTCTTCTTATTTAGATATGAAATAAAGTTTTATTTAGATATAAAATACAATAGATATAATACTATGATAATGGTACAATATCATTTCACAATAACATTTATTTTAGTTTCCGATGATATTTCACAGAATATTAGGATATTTGAAGACGGTATATAGATTCTCTTCCTTTAGTATATATGTAACATAACACCAAAATTCCGTGAAGCACAAAAGTATTATCAAAACTAAATATTTTTTATTATATATATCTCTCTCTCACTCTCTCTCTTGAATTTTTTATTATGGAGAAATACATTCTTGCAAAAACGTTAAAGTCACACCGTAACAAATCAGAGGTGTATATAGAACGTTTACCGTTACTGACCCATGCAATTGTTATTAGTTGACCTCACTACAAATAACAATTTTTAAATGATATACTTCCTTTGAGATACATTTATTTACGAACATTTATTTCTAAAAGTATGTAACGTTCAGAGAACTAAAAATGGAAGATTCTTATGACTCAATGCAAAATATTGTCATAAAAATGAAAGAAAAGAGTACAAAAATTTATAAAGTGAATTCCAAAGTAAGCAGTACCCAATAATTTCTTTGCTATCCATCCAAATATTAAAAAATTTTAATAACACATCAGTGAAAGTTCTACTTTACTGAATTTTGTAATAATGGAACTCCCTTCTTGAAATAAATATAGATATAACACAGTTTCTATCTATTTAAATGTAATAAAATTTTAATAATATATCACTGAAGAATATATTTTACCAATTTATGTTATTAGCAGACTTCCAACGACCCTCTTGAAATAAATGATTAGCTTACACCATTACATATAAATATATTAGGTTATGTCACTGGACATAGTCCATACCCTCCCTCCATATAAAACGTCTTGTACAGCTTATCCAAAATAATTATGTTTAGTTAAATTGATAAATATAATAATAAATAAATAATAGTATCAAATAAATATGATAAAAATAAATAAAGAAAACTCAAAAATAAATAAAGTTACTAATAAATAACCTAAAATACCTGTTTAAAAGAAACTATATATTTTTAAGAACTTATATCTTCATTTTTTTTTTCATTTTTTGAAAACATTAAATTTTAACAGTTTTAATTATATTTAATATTTAAATTATAAAGGTTAGTTTGAATGTTAAACTATGACATTCGTCGTGTCTTATATATACCCTTCTTCGCAGACGTTATCCAAAAAATAGTAAAAATAGATAGATTACTCTCCTACCCTATACCGGAATATATTTTCTAAAAACAATACATTTTAATAAACTAAATTATTTTATTTGAATGTTAAACTATGACATTCGTCGTGTCTTATAGATACCCTTCTTCGCAGACGTTATCCAAAAAATAGTAAAAATAGATAGAGTACTCTGTCACCGTATCCCAGAAATGAGGCAGCTACCAAATGACGAAACCACATATAATAGACGCTTGAAGCGCTTATTTCCACCTGAACTATCAATATAACAATTCATAGCTAACTATTTAACATACACATAAAACAATTTTAATCTCTTCATTGACTCATCTACTCTTAGTATATAATTATCTTGCTTTATTTAATTTAAATACGTTTTTATTATTTATTGTTAATATTTCATATACAACATGTAATGCTTAATAACATATTGATTTGAATTATTATTGAAATTTCCAATACTGTAAAAACAAATACTAGATACAAAATCTTGGCAGTTGTATAAATGAAGGGAAGAGAAAAAAAATTATAAAGGAGGAGGGATTTCAGCCACCAGACTATGAAACACATCTGGCTCTGGTCGCACTCCAGAGCCAGAGAGGGAATCAAGGAATACTGATAGAAGCTTGTTATTTGAGTAAATTATAAAAATTGAATTTATTTATATATTATTTATATAACATTTAAATATTATTTAATAACGAACAGTAGTGAACTACAACAACAAAAATTCATTTTATATTATTTTAATTAATTGAATTTTTGGCTGTATACCCATCATCAGTGGTCTTGAAATTATTTATATTTAATTATACGTAAATACCTTTTTGAAGCTACAAGTACCAATGTTTGAACTCGTGCCCTGCCAAATTTGAGAAGCTCAGAGTCAGCGCACAAATTTGCTTGCTTATTTAATTAATCTTTTTCATTCACTTTTTTGTACATTAATTAAATGATGAATAACTCAACCCCATAGGATTGATTTTTTTACAATAACATTAAGTTTGTAATATCTATTGTATTGAAGAGATCGTGCCCTGCCAAATTTGAGAAGCTCAGAGTCAGCGCACAAATTTGCTTGCTTATTTAATTAATCTTTTTCATTCACTTTTTTGTACATTAATTAAATGATGAATAACTCAACCCCATAGGATTGATTTTTTTACAATAACATTAAGTTTGTAATATCTATTGTATTGAAGAGATCGTGCCCTGCCAAATTTGAGAAGCTCAGAGTCAGCGCACAAATTTGCTTGCTTATTTAATTAATCTTTTTCATTCACTTTTTTGTACATTAATTAAATGATCAATAACTCAATCCCATAGGATTGCTTTTTTACAATAACATTAAGTTTGTAATATCTATTGTATTGAAGAGATAGTACTCCTTAAAAGGAACTCACCTCAAATTATTCCATTGCAAACGTAACTTATTCACATTTAAATTCATGTCCTTAAACGATAACATTTCCATGTCCTCAAGTTGCGAATACGTTATTTTCAAACTTATATTTAAGTTCGGATCGAATTTATTAGACAATTTGTCGACGATCTGATGAAAAGAATCGACCTTTTCACAAGTTAGTTCTAAGAATTTCAGGTTGTATAATGAAATTGAGTCGCAAGTGCATGGAGAGATTTCTGGACGTGCAGCACAATGTACTGACGCTACATTAGTAATACTTAAAACGGTATAAATTAACGAAGCCATCTTGAAATGTATATTTTCACGTTTTCAAATTCACACTTAATAAAATTCGAAATCAATCAATCAAATCACTTTGAACATAAATTAATAACGAAGTCACTTAAGTGACTTGCTTTGAAATCATTGCAAGACACTAGACACTTTAAATTGACACTGGAAGAGGACAATTGTTATATAGATATGTATATATTTTATATTTATTATACACTTAAAGTATTTGTGATATTTTATTGGATCATAAATAAAATAATGTCTATATGTGTGAATATCTATCTGGTTTAGTTAGAGACCTTTTTACTTTTTACTTTATACTTTTATCTACATTATTGAGTTCAAAATTTTATGACTTTTCGGTGACGCCTGCCTAACGCACAGGACTACACGTTGACTCCGGAGACAGAATTGTCTTTTTGGGAAAATATTTTCCACACATTGAGCGAGATTAGAGTTTAGCGATAACGACATATGTTTGGGGTTTCCATATTGTAAAATGCGTGCACTGCGGTACGCCTTTCGGTATCACAAGTAACGAAAATAAACACTTAAAAATACATGAAATATGAAACGGAAATGTGAAATGTGAAACGTTTTAAATTATCAACCGAAGTCAATATTTCTTCAAATTATTGTTGTATAAACAATTCTAAACGTTTGCGTTGTGTTATATGCATTTGCTCTGTATTTCGTATGTACATCACATAGTAATGTGTATTTACTGCTTAACATTTGACACGGAGATATCACTTGAAATAATCTATTAGAAATTCTTGAAAATAAAAACACAAAATTCGAATTTATTGTGGTTGCGGGTTTCAATGAAATTTATTTTCATTACATTTTTTTTCTTCGTTAAATTTTTCTCAATTAAAATAAAATTTCAATTTTTTAAAATTAAAATTAATTAAATAAAAAAAAATTTTTAATTATTTTTTTCAAATAAATATTTTTATTCGTTGATTATAATTTATATGGAAATCACTTTTTACACATTCCGATTCCTTACTGAACTTGCACAAATGCTGCAGTCTAAATACAATTTCGTAATTCACGTCTGTACTTCAACACGATCCGATAACGACTGGAAGGGAATACTGTTATACATTTCGTTGGAGGATTTGCAGACAAGTAAAAGCAAGAAGATCGCTCTTAATGATTTATTCTTTAGGTTGTGTTGTTGCACTCTGTTTTTGTTGCCGATGTGTCAATGTGTTGCTGTTGCTGTTGCTCAATGTGCAGCCAGCCTAAGCATCAGATACATTACATGCTCTTCTCAGCTAATCTGCTTATTGGCTGATTTTAGTAAACAAAAAGAGCCCCACTAACATAGGTGGAAGCATTTGGTCCGAAGATATTCCGAGGAGCACAAGACTATGCCTACACAACTGCGAATATTACGAGTATTACATATTTTATGCGATACGGATACTTAACATACTATATAAGTAAAGGGAGAAATTTCTTTCTATAGAAATACACAAATTATTTTCAAACCATACATATATTAGTTTTAGTCAAAATTCCCGTAAATTAGCCATAAAAACAATTATATATATTACAAGTAAAAATTTTAATTTTAAGTGTAAAAACCCATTCTTATAAAAAAACAGCAATATAACTAACTATTATAGAAAACAATACACAAATAATAAAAAACAAAATATAAAAAATAATTATTTTTAATTCATAATATAACTTATATACAATATACAATAAACAATATATATTACGAAAACTGACAGACTTACCAACACCGCGTTATTACATCTCAGAATGGTTACAGGCTCCTCGAGGAGGTATGCAGATCTGAGGTAAATTATTGCTTAGTCTGATGAAGTGATAAACAATAATCCAGTCAAGGCGTAAAGAGGGGTTTTGAAAATACCTCGAGTTAAGTAAGAGTGAAAGTGCTCAAGTGCACTAGCTCAAATAACTTTAACATAAAAAATATATATTATATAATGTATAATATGTAATATATAGTATATAATACAGAATATGAAATATATATATTAATATATGTTATAACATATAATTAATTTAATTTTAAATGTAGAAACCCATTCTTTTTACATTTAACACTATAACTATTATTTTCTATAACAAAGAAAAGTACATAATATAAAACAAAATATGGAAAACAAAGTTTATTTTTCGTATCATAACATATAAACAATATGGAATATATATTATATAATATTTAATATATAATAAACGCTATATACTATATAACATATTATAATATGTAACATATTATTATTATATTATAATGTATCAGCACAAGAGATGAACTATGCTCGCGGTGCTCCGCTCCGTCAAAAACCGGTACCCTGTTTCTATATTATTATATATAATACATTATTAATAATACATAATATATAATATACGTCGAAGGCAAAAATTTGAAAACACCTCATATACACATGGCCTAATATGTTATAGACATATAGACGTTGTCTAAATATTTGTGAAATTTTTTTTTTGTCATTCAAATTTTATTTTTCATATAATACATGAAGAATTAGATTTATCCTATTCTCTTTTTGGGTTAGATGACTTCACTATATATGGGTTGGATATCAAATGTGCCGTAGCATACTTAATGATTGGAGTGATCAAAAAGATTGATTTCTTCGACAATACTATATAAAGATAATAAAGGGTACACAATTTTAATAAATTATTGAATTTATATCTTAGTACTAATATTAGCTACGAATTTTAATAATGAAAAGTTAGAAATAATAGTAGAGGTTCTTCAACTTTTGAAAATAGCTATGAAAAAAGTAACGCTAGAAGAGTTAGATTTATATTTTGACCAAAGACTGTATTTAAATAAATAACAACAATCTTACAATAATTACCTAAGTGAACTTTAAAAAAAGAAGTTAAGGAGAAGAATATAAAAATTCGTATATACATATTTTGAAGTATATCTGCCTTTTTCCGTTTGGTACATTCCATTAACTTTTATTAGAATAAGTTAATAATATTACAATAATTTATTTAATATTCTTTAGTATATTCCTAAAAAGATTGTAGGCCTTAATACAATTTTGGCTACGACAATGCAAATACATATATGTATGTACCTATATTAATTTCGTATGAATCCTATATTTTACTGAATAGGGGGGACTGGCGCACACTTGTAGCTTTCTTAACATTGAACCTGCAATATAAGCGTGAAGTTTATTTGAATTGTGAAAAATATTAAATTTTTTTTTTGTACTAGAACTAGCTTTTAAATAATAATTTACTAAGGATAAAGTAAGACCTTTAGTTTTTAGTGCAGAAATCTTAAAATGGAACTGCGTTGAAAATGCAATGAACCAAATATGTATACTATATTATATATAGTATATCAACTATCAACTTAAAGTCGAACACTTAAAATTATTGTCTTATATAAAATCAAATTTTAAATCAACCTAATTTTTGAATTTTGAATATTAAATAGAGTGTAATAATATGTGCAAAAAAGAGTTTTAGAGTTTATAAAGCTAAATATAAGAACAAACTAAATTAATGAACAACGTAGCGAGCATTTGCAAATTGGAGCAAGTAAAACACCAGAACAACGTAGCAGGGAGTATTTGTGCAAGTCATGTTAGAACAACCAAATTTGTAGTATATAAAGTTAATGTTATTACTAGCAAATTTTAAAATTAAGTAATTATAGCACTTATGAATCTGTTCAAAAGTCAGTTATGTTTTAAATATACCATTGCGGGTATATGCCAGCAGATATATGAGCGTTCATCAATTGATACGTGTATGTGAATGCATTGAGATATAGTAAAACCGGCTTCTTCTATTTTTTTAATATGTAATTTGTTGTTGTTTAGTGGCCTTACTTAATTAAATGGACTATATGATTGTTTTATGGATAATTTTTTTTATATCAATATTAGCGAAGGACTCAGAGCAAAACTAATGTGTAATATGTAATAGATAATATTTATTATATTAATGAACATAATAGATATACATACTTAATGTATACATATATATGCATATGTATAATATATATAATATAATATGTATATTGTATATATTTTAAATATAATATATATATATTGTATTATAATATAATATATAATATAATTATATATAATATATTATGAATATCTTTATATATATTAAAATTTAGAATATAAAATTTAAATAAATACAATATATGAAATATGTTATAAAATATATTTCTAATAAATTTAAAAAAATATATATATATATTAATTAAAATATTGATATATCAATGTACTTCTTCTATAAATATACATATTTAAATTTGCATAGGATTGCTTTAATTTTTATATTATATATTATTTAGTTCTATATTTACGCATTTAAATATGGGATTTCTGATTAGGAACTGGACATTACTAGTATTAACTCAAATTGTATACAACTAACCACTAGTAAATGAAAATTAATAAAAATTAATATAAATTAATGAAAATGTCTAAATGGCACGTGTAAAAATATGTTGATAGTTATATTAATAAACATTAGAAGTGTAACATTTTAATATGATGTGACAATCTTATTACCTATATTACCTATATAATTGGCGCTCAAATAAAATTCATAAACTCGGCAAAATTAATTTCCTTTCCTTAGTGTTCTAGTATATCATAACTAAATAATACCAATAGACTTGTAATATAGTAATACAGTAAATATTTAGATATACGTAGAAACATATTTTTTTTTTAATTTCAAAATACGATACATTTCATAGACTCATTTTGAAAGAATATAGTCCAAATTTGACTTGCTTTACGTAAAATAAAGTTTAAAATGAATTCAAGAATGGATAATCCAAGTGTTCATTCAAGGTATTATAAATATCATATCGCCACATATAGATATCGGGTGTTCAACATATAAAATCAGTGAAAGAAACTGGTTAAGTATAGACTCCGTTTTAAACCGCTATATACAAAAATCGTAATACGATATACTCAACAACTTTTTCCAATATCTCATATATCAATATTGTTTAATTTTTGAGATATCGAGTTGGACATTTTTAACTAAAAACCAACAAGTAGAGGCGCCACAAGTAACCTATGTGG